ACAAATGCAATTTTGTCGGGCAACTTGTTCAAAGCACGTGCTATTTGTTGGGCAAGGTTACCTTGCTTTACTGTAGGTAAACAACGAAAAAACCGTATTGCAGAATTTGAAGATTGACCGACGACCGAGTTTTGTTTTTAGCATTGTTCTTAGCGTGTTTGGATCATGCATTTTAATCAGCAAGAAATGAAGTACTATATAAACCTCGAAGATGATACCGCGGGCTCAATATCGAAAACGTGTAAATGTGTAATTGTTATGCAAACGAGACGAAAATGTGAGAGTTTATTCACGGTTTAGTGCTTTTTGTGACGCGTTGTTGTGTTTTAAATATCTGCTCAGAGCTCCCGACGTCACTAGCATACTCGTAATATACATTAGCAAATACTTGTATAGAACTACTGTCCACGCCCGTTTTGTCGGGCAAAACTTGATTTCATTGGGCAAATATTGTTGACACCCCCCCAAATGCTGATACCCAAGTTACGCCCCTGAACTCATTAACTATGTTATTGTCCAGCTTTATGCAAGAATTTGGTCCTATCTCCTCACGTGTGTATTGTATTTTCGCTCAAATAACCAATAACAAGTTTGTGGTTGAGTTATCCATCCGTAACTTGGACAAATGCTCAATTTAAACATTACTATTGGTTGTGCGGGAAAAAAATACAATACACACGTGACGAGATAGGCCCAAATTCTTGCATAAACCGAAACCAACATAGTTAATGAGTTATATTGTACTTTCATCGAGTCTCCAAACCATGTATTCTATTAACTGTGGTTTACTCGATCTTGTAAAATTTTCTAGGAATTGGACTGGTGTGTTATGGCATCTCGTGGCTCGTGTACAAGGAATTTGAACCAGTGGGCGTGGCGAAGAAAAATTTGGAGATTAATAACCAAGGATATCAGGGTGATATGGATAAAAACGGCACAGATACGAGAATGTAATGATGCGGAGGTATATTGCTGAACTTGCCGCCAGGACATGCATTGTAATTTTTGAATTTTAATTTTTGAATTTCACAAATTCATTTGGATCAATAATGCATACAATATATTAGGCAAAAAAAATAAAAATGTGGGTTTCCGGTTTCTTCTTATAAAAACTTAGGTAGGGTAGGTCGGTTTTAACTTTTTTTTTTAAACTTTTTTTTAATTTTCCGAACAAGCGGACGCCATTTTGTTTAGTCAGTGCTTCCACATCCAAAGATAAATTTTCCTAATATTGCCTCAAATTTCAATTTTCCACAAACTTTTTCTTCTAAGTGGAAACACTTACAACCATGATCCAATAAAAAAGTTTAGGGTCGGGATTTCGACGTCCAAAAGCTAGGTAGGGTCGGGAAACCGGAAACCCACATATTTTTTTTTGCCTTATCAATACAGTTACATATGAATTAATAACTTCAAGATCCAAAAGGCAAGGTGCATATGGGTCCTTTTTCAGGAGTCCCGCGTTCGTACCAATAATTTAGATTTTGTGTACTTAAATGTTACACATATTAGTACCCAAAGGTTCCAGAAAATATTTGTCAAAAACAATAAGACTTTGATTTAATGCACTTATTGTTACTTTTAAATTAAGTTCTTGAATTAATTTCAGACTCTTCTGTATTTTGAAGGAATAGAATTCAATCGCAATAGCAAAAGTTGGGCATATTGGCTTCTTCATATATATATCAACTTGTATTTAAAGCCTATATAAGGCGTCATATACTTATATATAGACAACCAGTGCCAGGCACATTAACGGATATAACCTGTTTTGTAGGCAGTATATTTATTTCAATGTTTTGTGGTCATATACACTCGCGGTGTTTTGACTGTTTTGATTTGTAAAATTGAAAATAGCTGTAACTAGTTAACAGGGTATCTAAAAAAGGCGAACCTTTAGAAATCCACCTGACTGTTATAATTTGAATGCCAGAGTCCTATACTAAACCAGGGCAAAGGGAAAAAACCCATGGGGTGCCTAAACACAATACACTCTTTCGATAATTACGTCACAACTGTTTTCAACTTATGACCACCTTAAATGGAAAGGATTTCAAGTTTTTTTCTCATGGGCTATGCACAGAGAAGCAGAACATCCTTCTTCAACACATGCATGAAAAAGAATTCTTTATTTTGACCAATAAATGTGGAAATAAGCTTTAACACGAAAACGAGGCTCCAAGTCATTTACCTGCTTATTTAATGCTTATTTCCATATTTATTGATCAAAATCCCAAATTTTTTTCATGCATGTGTGTTGAAGAAGGATGTTCTGCTTCTCTGTGCATAGCCCATGAGAAAAAATCTTGAAATCCTTTCCATTTAAGGTGGTCCTAAGTTGAAAACAGTATAGTTGTGACGTAATTATCGAAAGAGTGTATTGAACCTGAATTTGGTATCGTTCAACATATGCAGATTTCTAAAGGTTCACTTTTTTTGAGACATTCTGTAGTAGTATTTTTATTGTTAATTTTTTCTAAAATATATTTTATATTGTCAAGAGTGTGTAGAAATTTGTCAGCCGGCTATCATTGCATCATATATATATATAGTGTCTGTATGTCTTATAAATGCATGAGTGACCAAATACAGCCAGTCAGCCACAACAAAGTAGGCATGTTGCAGCTTAGCCTTAGTACAGTGTTTTGAAAATATGGCTGTACAACAACCTCGACATGCTTACATATTTAACCACGATATTTAACTGAAGCATTCGGACTATTTTCTCGTGAGCTTACAAATCAATTAAAATTGGAGCAGATTTTGTTGGGGGAGGTGCTGGACTTCTCTAAGGGATGCCTAGCCACCACCAGGCGGGGTCCCCCCCCCCGCACCCCATGGTAGATCCACCACCCCTGGTAAATTAGCTACCATTTATCATTGAAAACAACAAATATTGGTCAAATATGATATATTTTAAAAATGCATAAATACTACGGCATAAATAACAACTTGCACATTGTTACATGACGTGCTACATCAGAGTTAATATACTACCCTACGTTCATACTTAATAAATAATGTTTTAGAAATAGAAAAAAAGGTAGAAGATAGTTCACATCAAGGACATTGTTCTACATCTGCTACCATGCTTTAGAGCTTGCACTGATTCGTTGACTGAGTTCTAAATGAAAAAAAAAAAATACAAATGGTGACTCCAGCTATAGGCGAAATTTTGATCTAGACAAGAACGAATGCCATTACCATAGCTGGAAAGAGCATCTTAAAGGTGATCTACAGTCCGTATGTAAACAAAGCCTTTGTTTACATTTTTGTGTCCAAAATATTGAGCTTTATTCGACAACTATTTATATTTTCAAGCTTCTAGAGTATAATAAATGAGCAAGAAACAACAATTAGGCTTTTCAAGAACTCAAAACATAGTTAAACTGTTTGTATCATAAAAAGTGGGCTCATTTGTGCACATGCGCAGATCGGACTGTAGATCACCTTTAAGGAATATGGTTCGAAAAATTTTTTTTCCCACCCCCCGCTTTTTTTCCCATCCCCCCTTTTTCCTTTTTTGGGGGAAAAATAGGGCCACACTTAAAGATTTGACGGTGGGCCTCAGGAGGTTCTGTTACGCCACTGAGGGCATTCGCTCGAAACATCGATGTTTTACATGTATTTTTTCTAGTGTTTTTGTCACTAACTACACTCACAGACCGTAAATTTAACTAATATTTTTTTACCTTGATAGTTAATTTGCGTGATCATTTTATCAAAGCCATACTGTGACAAAAGTTGTTGCACTACAACGAAAAAGTATATATCCAACAATTTGTTGAAATATCTGACGGAGAAAACAACATTTACTCAGTGGTGGTGATCATAGTTTCAACTGTTGAAAAATATTGGGGCTACAACGTCCTCTTTGTATATACCACTGTGTTATTATCTCAAAGTAATAAAAAGGTTGGCAGTCAGGGGGAGGGGGGGATACGAACCTTCATGTTTTGTCATTTGCTCCCCGCCTTTCACAAGGAGATGCTCAAATTCACCACGGCTGATGTAACCCTTTCTGCTTCTGTCTTGCAAAGCGAATGCATTGAGGATCTCCCTTTCAATGTTGACATGCTTTGCATTTTGTGCGGCAAGCATTTTCACGAACTCGGGGAATGTAACGCTCGCTTTTCCTAGAAAAGATTGGACGATTACCAACTACCAAATGTTGAACTGAACTATACTAACTTTATTTATACTGGATTGCTCTATAAGTTCTAAACAATTCTTCACGGTACAGTAATTGCCATCCCTTTTATGGTCCATGCATGATTTACTATAGGAGTACACTATAAAAATCTCACAACTTGTCAACAAGATGTGTTCGCAACAGGCTTGTAGCAAGTTTGCCAACAAGTTGTAACAACGCTATAATTATTTTATCAAGTTGCTACAAGGTTGTCACTCACAACTTGTTGATAAATTGTTGAATTGCAGGACAATAATTATTTGCTGGAACAACTTGTAACAAGTCTGTTGTGCTCAGCAACCTTGTAGCAAGTTGTCAACAAGCTGGGAACAAGCAGTGCGAACACATCCTGTTGACAAGTTGTTGGAACAGCATATTAGGAACGGGCATAAGCTAACAGGGTAAGAAGATTAGATCAAGATGGGCTTGACCATTGCCCAGGCTGTAGCAAAGCCCATATCAATGGCTCGCCTTACCATGCGCTTTCATTATTTCAAAAATCTCAATATGTGTGACAGGATGACCCAAAGCTCGCATGATTTTGGTCAGTTCTTCTTTTTCGACTTTTCCATCGCGATTCTTGTCGTACAAATTGAAGCAGTCTCTGAAAACTGAACAAAGACAATTTTAAACATGTTTTCAAATTACACTTTTCAACATATCACTTTATTGATATTTTCAATATATTTCCAATATTATTTCCAGTTAATTGAACAGGATCCATTTCAATTAGTACTATTAATACAGTGTACAATAATGTCTTTGGCAACTTATTTGCAGGTTCCTATATAATACGAGATGTAAATTTAACTAGATCACATAGCTACAGTAGATAAAATAAATTAATAGCTAAGAAAAGTCTAATTTAGTGTAAACAATTTCTATTTCAAATCAAGAAGTACAAATGTACAATACTTTTGTCACTTTATGAAACTTAAACAAACGTAAACCTGGACATTTATATAAACTTACCATCAATTTGATGTTGCGAGAAGCTTTCTGCCTATAAAATTAACACAACAACTAGAACAATTAATTGCAACAATTCTGTGTCACAAATGTCAAATGTAAACAGTGTATAAGACAGATAAAAACGCTAATAAAACACACATAATTATGTAAAGTATACAAGAAAATAACTAGATATAAAGTTAAGACAACATACCATTATATGTAGAATATAAAAATATGAGATATATTATTTATAGTTTGACACGAAATATCGAATGAAAATATTTGAGTATTGTTTTGACGCTTGACTGCGCACTACTTCATGTAGACGGAATGTGAAATGGTTTCCAGCTGAGCGAGGAATTTTATTAATATCTCGAGCTCGTTCTTTCCATTTCTCAGAGAATATTTGGCTTGAAAAAAACCTTTGAAAATGGCTGTAAAAGTGTGAAAAAATTAGAGTAGATGTTTATCTTGACTAATTTCATTTAAATGAAATAATTCAACAATGATTAATTATTATTATAAATTTATAAAATAATTTTTATTTAAAAAATCATTTTATATTCGTTTTTGACCCTGAGCTATATAAATATTACTGGACAACGCACGAGCACGCATTTGGCCTGCAAAGCGGGCGCTCGCGGGCTTTGCAGGCTAGATTTGGCGGGTCGATTCGTTTGCGCGGGATTCGAAAAAGCACGGCCACATTGTTAGAACGACTTTAGACTTTGGAAAGCCTAAAATCTCTTTAAAATGGGTCAATTATTTTCGTCAACAGCAAAAACAGTTGCTAGCGCTTTGTATCCGTGTAAGGAACAGCTACCAGTTTCGCTAATGTTCAGCAAACTCAGTGAAAAGGCCATAGCGCCTAGTCGTGGCTCGATCGGGGCTGCTGGCTACGATCTGTATGCAGCACACGATGTGACCATACCCGCCCAAGGAAAGGCTATTGTTAAAACTGATATAGCTGTTGCACTGCCCCAAGGATGGTATGGCAGAGTCGCTCCTAGGTATGTGAAAAAATTAGATTTGAATCTTCTATAATTTAAGATCTAATTGTATATTGTAATATTGAGCTTATATTGAATATATTGGCACAGAATAGAGATCAAATTGGGCTATTACATTTAATGCCCGTACCCCCCCTGTCGAGGACCTCATTTTCCAAGGGGGAAATTAGTAATTTTTTCCAGAGGGGTAATTGGGAAAAATGGAAGAAAAATGCTCTTTCCAGAGGGGTTAAAAAGCAAAAATGCACTTCCAGAGGGGGTTCAAGTCTCTTCCAGAGGGGTCAATTACACAGATTTTTTTGCATTCCAGAGCGGTAAAATCCCCAAAAGCAGAGGTCCTCGACAGGGGGGGTTTGGTTTTTTAATGTAATAGCCCAATAGACTATAAACTCGGATTTTAGTGTTTATAGTGTTTAATAGGGGTTTTAGAAATTGTGAAACCAGATGGCAAGTTTATTGAGGTGAAACCCCAGAATAGTGGCCGACTTCTTTGGGGGGGGGGGGGGAATATGTTTTTGGATCGTCGAATTTCACAGAAAAATTTCTTCGGATTTCGGATCTGGCGACTATTTTACACAGATTTACGGATTTTATTAATACAGCGGATTGCGGATTTATCTAATATTT